ACTGATGCGCAATGTGACTCGGGATAACTGTCTGGCGGGGGTGATCGCCCTCGTCCATGACGCCGACTCAGGCTGTGTGGAGCTGATCTGGGCGCACAGCACTGCCACCATGTGCATCGGCTACATGTCTTCGAAGCCTTCGGCATCGGCGAAAGCCTTCACCTCCTCATTGCCGGCCACATCCAAGCCGGGCAGTACGGTGACTGCACAGGCGCACTCCTTCAGGTACCAAAGACAATGACAAACATTTCCAATAATAAAGCAGTTATCATCATCATCATTTATTCATCACTCATTTGGCTTCTTCCCCAAGTGGGCAATGTCCTTCAGGCTAAAGGTGGCACTGCCTGGTTTTAGCGGCTGTGGCTGTGAGGGATGTGGCTTCCAGCCGATAAAGTAGAAGATCTGAAATGTCGCCGGAACAGCTCGGGTCGGCGGTGATGACTGTTGTTGGCCCTGCTGCTCTTCTGCGTCCTCTTTGGTCTTGCCGTAGATTCCATTGTAGATGGCCGCCGCCGCCAGCAGCGAGTCTCGATTGATGTGCTTTCGAGCACGTATCAGGGCATTATTCTCNTTGCGTCCTCTTTGGTCTTGCCGTAGATTCCATTGTAGATGGCCGCCGCCGCCAGGAGCGAGTCTCGGTTGATGTGCTTTCGAGCACGTATCAGGGCATTATTCTCCGCCATTCCCTTCAGGTCGTACATGAGCTCGAAGATACTAGGGTAGTGCACGACAATCTCATCGGCGTCAATGGTGAGCATGGTGAAGCCAGCNCCGCCATTCCCTTCAGGTCGTACATGAGCTCGAAGATACTAGGGTAGTGCACGACAATCTCATCGGCGTCAATGGTGAGCATGGTGAAGCCAGCCCGGTTCAGCAGACCGCCGATGTCCTGCGGGGTGACAAAGGGCGACACGTGGGCGCCGAAACCGCCCTCGCGGTCCATTTCCGCCATCTGCAGAGAACAGCGAAGCTCAAAGAGCGTCTGTCCGCCGAACATTGCCCCGATGAAGACGCCGTCCTCCTTCAGACAGCTTATTATATTGCCGAATAACTTGGGAAGATCGTTTATCCAGTGGAGGTTTAGACTAGAGATGACCATGTCCACGCTGCCGGGCGGCCTGCTAAAGTTTTCTTCGTCGTCAATGAGCATCTTTTCAATGTTCACATCATCGCGATCTTCAATGAGATTCTGACACAACAATTAGAAACCGAGTTAGAGTTTACCTAAAGTTCTGTTCAAAACAGCTTTACCAACGAGTTTTGTGATGAAGAGCAGCAGATGATGGTGTCAACAGTGTCCTGTGCGATAGAAGGAAATTAGAAAGGAAGGAGAAAAGAATCGTTTCGTGAACTTGCATTGCTTAGATTCGAAGCTATGTGTCCTTTATAACAGCCGAGATCAACTATATTGGAGAAATGTCTGCATGATGGTTAGGACTTATCACTAAGCAAATGTCAGTCATCACTTTAATACCTTTTAATGTCAAATACTCGATCGGCGACTCGAAAGGCCACCTCTTCCTTGAGGTAATCATAAAGATGCGATTCGGCACTGGCCAGTGCTCTTTCTCGGTGTATCCGCTTCACCTTGCTATCAAAGATTGTCATTATGCTCGACTGAGTAGTCAGCGTCCGCAGACAGTGTCGATTGTAGCTTGATCCATTTCGAAGAACAAACTGCATCAATCTGGTCATCCTCGAAGAAGCCATATGAAAAACACGTGAAATGCAACCAAAATAAAGCTGTTGACATTGCCAGGCAAATCACATGGGTAAATTGAGATGCACTCTGCTGGCGGCACCTGGTGCCTCGAGAAGATCCGGGCCAAGCTATAACTCAAGAAAACAACTCCTTTAATCTCAGTTTAAAATAATAATGATGACAAATTAAAAAGTTAAATTATGTACAGAATTTCCTTGAAGAAAGAAGTAAGCTTCGTTAGCTTAGATGTCAGTGGCATGTTGGATAAATAGGGCTGAGTTGGGGGCAGATGAGAAAGCAACCTCGTAATTAGAAGAGCGGATTGTACAGATTACATGATCATTTCTTGCTGGACTGGGTTCAGCGGGCCAATACTATCATCGGAGATGAACGAGTTGGAGGTTTCCATTGCCAACGAAGCCAGACCGCCGTTCTGCTCGAAGCTGCTGTCCTGCTTGTCTTCACCGTTTGAGATGCCATTCAGTGTCTCTCCATTTCCGTTGATGGCAACAGCTGTCTCCTCTTCGTCATCGCCCCAATCGATTTTGAACTTGGTGATACGAGGATCAGTGGCGAGAATGTTTCGCTGAAGCTTATCAAATTGCGGCACAGAAGGCGGGTTCTCGCGTAGCTCCGGATCAGTGTACTCATTGTTCACGTAGTAGCCCACTCGAACGAACTCCTTGCTGCGGTAGGAGCAGGTTAGCAAGACGACGGTGACACCAACAGCATCGGCGACTGGTATCTTTGCCGGATCAGGGCTGTTCGCCTGAAAGACAAACATGTGTCGCCCTTCAGGGACCGGGCCGACAAAGACGGTGTCTAGCACCTGATCGTACTCTTCACTTTCCGCCGAGCCGACGTAGATGATGCGCCACTCGAGATCATCCTTCAGATCTTCAATGCATTCAAACGTAATCTCAAACTGAAATGGATTGAAAAAGAGAGATGGATTGTCTAGTGTAAAAATGCGCAATCATTAGTAAAGAAAAATGAGACAACACAACGAGCGAGCTCACCGAGAACGACAATGTTTACGATTTGAGCCTGTAAAGTAAGTAGAAGAATGTTTTCTGTTAGATGTCACCGGTGTCAAAAAGCAGTGGGCGTCTAGGGCCCAGCTTACCTTGGCCATGATGACTGCGAGTGAGGAAAGAGGAGTTAAAAGTGAGGAGATTAAAACCGTTGGTCGCGGGAAAGTGGTCTTGGGACGAACGTCCGTCGTCGTCGATGGTGAGAGAAGGAATGTCTGTGTTGTGTGTGAGTGTCAGGCGCACACACCGCTACAAAGGCAGTCAGAAGAAGCGCCAAAAGATTGTGCTCCAAGCGCATCGAGATAACAAGGCCCAAAACGTTTTCACCTCTGCCCAAAAATCGTCACCCAACAGATGAAGAGCACACTCGGAGCTCTAAACTCTCTTTTCTAGTCAGCAGATAATCTCTAGATAACGCTTATCAGTCACTTTTGCTTATCACAAAGTTCGGGTAAATCAGTACGTCTTCTGTGAAGCCCGTTGTGCTGAAAACAAGCATTTTCGGCAATCAGTTTTGTTTCACTTTGCCGGCTCCAGTTACGGTCTCAATAATCTGACAATCTGACGCTATCCCATCACCTGTGGTCTCAATGTCAGGCTTCAACTTTGGCGCCACTGCCACCAGCCAGGCCAGTCAACTGGGCTTCGGTTTCGGCAGCCAACCAGCAGTGCAGAGCAGCTCTACGGGATTCGGTGTTCCATCATCAACGGCCAGCGGCGGGACCAGCTCTTTTGGTGGAGGCGGCGGCGGCGGCTCCTCGAGCCTCTTTTCCTTCCCCGCCTCCAACACCGGTACGGCAAACTCCTCCGCCGCGGGCACCCTCTTCGGCGCCTCCTCACTGTCGAACCCAAGTTCATTTTCACTCAACCCGACGACGACTACTTCGAGTAGCTTGTTCTCCAGCTTTCAGCCCACTTCCACCAACACATTCAGTGGTTTCGGCTCCTCTTTCGGGGCCACGGCAAATAAGCCGGCAAACACCGGTTTTGCCTTTGGTCCTAGCAACACGTCGTCTCTCTTTGGAACGACACAAACTCAGCAGCAACAACAGCAACAACAACTGCCTCAACAACAACAACAGCAGCAGCAACAGCAACAGCAAATTGGCAGTCTTTTCGCTCCGAAAATCTACAACGATGAGCGAGACAACATCATTGGCTTGTTCAATTCTGTACAAGCATTCTGGGGCACGGGAAAGGCCTTTTACTCGGCGTTTAACCCGCCTCATCAGTTTACCGACTCTGACCAGTATAATCGATTCAAAACTATTGTCTACTCGGAAATCGCGACTGACGATAAAGAGGGCGAGGAAAAGATATTCTTTTTGTTGCGTGTCACTACGGACGAGTCTCAGCTGAAAACAAGTCTATTGACGTACGAAAACAACTTTAAGCAAATCGTCGGCAATAACTACACTGTGAAGCTCGAACTAAAGAACATTCTTCCTGATAGTAAAGCCATCATTTCCATTACTGTGATTGAAAATGCTACATCTAAAGCCATTCCTGAAGCGCAATTGCGCACTTTTTTCAGTCAACCTAACTCGAAGCAACAACTGAACAGCATCTTTGCTGGCACATTCATCGAGGTGTTGTTTCTTTCCCTGTCGAAGCAAGAGCTGGACAGCTACCTGAGCATGCCACCAAAAGGCATTGACGAGCGCATTTGGACGCAAGCAAAGTTGGAGAATCCAGACCCGAGTCGTTTCACGCCATTGCCACTCATCGGTTTCAACTCACTGAACAATCGCTTCAAGATGCAGGAAAAGGAGATTCAGCAGCAGCAGATGAGGCTAAAGCAGATCATCGACAATGTAACTGGTCTTGAAAGTGACATTGCTCAATTTAAAGCAAAGTTTGAGGATTGTCGGCGTAAGCATGCCAGTCTATCGTATCAGGTACTAAAGAAAATGATCTCGCAAGAGGTGCAACGCAAACGGACCCTACCTATACAAGCAGAAGAAGACAAACTGCGTGCTAACCTCGAGGCAATTCAATCTGAGCTGAATGTTCCAACAAAATTCCAAGGATGTCTTAACGAGTTGATGTCCCAGCTGCGACAAATGCAATGTCAATCACAGCTCGTCAATACCATTACGCCAGATAAGAATGCGTTCAATGAATACAAGCAGTTTCTTATGGAGGAGAATGCCGGCATCATGAGTCTAGTAGACCTGTTTAAGAAGGACATTGAGGACATCAACCGCCTGACAAACAAGTGATACTAATTAATGGACTTTTGTATTTTTTTAACACGAAATCAATTTCTCTGCTAATTATTTTTCTGTAAATAAAAAATAAATTATTGCATCATTTTCATATACCTGCATTTGCTGTCGAAATAGATGTCGTCAAAAGTGTAAACAAAAGTGTTCCTTACAAAAATTAAAATTTTCAACAAGTCCAATAATGTTTTCACTACTTTACGGGTTCTGGCAGTACATGTTTCAAAAGGACGAATACTACGTTCTGATTCTTGGTCTTGACAACGCTGGAAAGACGACCTTTCTGGAGCAGGCAAAAGCCAGTTTGAATCCTAACTACAAGACTCTCAACCTGTCAAAAATTAGCTGCACCGTGGGACTCAACATTGGGAAGATTGTATCAGAAGGTGTGGTGCTCAATTTCTGGGACTTGGGTGGACAGAGTGAACTGCAGTGTTTATGGGATAAGGTCTGTGTGATTCTGGCTGTACAGATATTTTGGATTTTAATGTTTTCCCACCACGATAGTATTACGCAGAGTCACATGCCATCATTTATGTAGTGGATTCATCGGACACGGAAAGAATACAAGAGTCAAAAGCTGCCTTTGGTAAGAACTGGTTCATGTTATTTCAGTCAAAACAATGTAAATGATTTTTTCATGCAGATAAACTGATACACAATGATGCACTAAAGGAGCTTCCACTGTTGTTTGTAGCAAATAAGCAAGATGTACAGGTATTTGTTTTCACAAACTATTCTTATTGTGTTATTCATACGGATATTTAAAAAATACAGAATAGTTTATCAATGGACCGAATAAAAGAAATTTTCAGTATTGCTCAACTACAAGAGACAGATAGGAGAAGTTGCCATTT